TGCCACTTCCTGTGGGAGGCAAACGCACTTCTATTTCTCCAGACAGTAAACCCACGGCGGATCACAGTAACAATCCCACTAAAGCCCAGCTTACCGAGCACGTGAACATATTGTGCTACTTAGGGAAATATGAGTGAAAGGTGAATTACAGGAGCATGTAGACTGAAAAGCAGCGGCATCCCTGAAATCCCACACCATCCGGAATGATGAGTCGGGAAAGCTGCACGGCTCGAGATCTCTGTACACCTTTCAGGAAGATTGACTGGTTGGAGAATCTCCTAGCCCCGGCAATTGTTATCTCGTGAATATATTCAGTTGTGAAAACTTCTTAGAACCTTGAGGTATTTTGCTTTCTGGGCCTTGAAAGTTTTATGTACATCCTGATACTTGAGGAGCCACCTACAGGAAAGAAATGATTCAAATTGGAATCAGCCTCAGTTAGTGATTCTGAAAATGAGGGCCCTGTATCATCTATGCCATAATTGTCCAATTATTTATTTTAAAATCTAAATAGTTTTTCTCATTTTTAGTTTCCATGAATGCTTTAGTCTTATACAACATCATCTTTACTATTCAGACATATTATTATAACCAAGGGAGAATTTAGCTTTTGTATTATTACACATTATCCTAAAGAATTTCATACATGTTTATAATAAACTACAATCACATTCCCACACTTACCTTTTTCAATTCACCTCATATTCCCACAACATATCTCCCAACTTCATGTTCTGAAGGGAAAACCATACTCTTGTTCGCTGATAAATTTCATTGTTCCAGTGCATGGCCTAAGCATCTTAACGTCTTCTCACAATACTGCTTGCACAAAGATTATGAAAATAATGTTATTCATTTTCCTGGGGGATTTTCACATTCTATACCACCCCCTCGCCTTAGATATGTCAGCATTTGCCTCCATCTGCTCACTGCCAGGCATCTCTCTCTTCTGTAAGGTATGTCACCTGAAACAATTGCTTGTTAGACAAATAGAGAAACCTTCAGAGACAATAGCTTGTCCAAGCGCCCTCTACCACTTTCTACAACGTATTCTCTTGAAACAGGGTTTCTCAAGAAACCTGGAATAAGCTGTCAGCAATCAAATCCCAGGAATTTTTCTATGTTCACTTGCACAACCACACCCCAGTTATGGAGTTCCAGGGGTCAATGTCCATGGCTAGCTTTTATGTAGATACTGAGGATTTGAATTCAGATAGGGATGGGCTATCTCCGCAACCTTACCCCTGGACATTTCATATAGTTAAGCTTGTTTCAACTACACCGAACTCTAGAGGGATACCCACTATGCTAGCATTCTCTGCTCGCATCTCCATTTACAGCAGTTCCCTTTATTTATATTTTATCTTGGTACAACATTTTGCTTTTATAAGCCAGGGTCATGTGGTCCTGCCTGGCTTGTTTTATGACACTTTCAGATTCAAATATCATAATGACTTTTGACATATAGCAAATGTCATGTTACATTCCAGAGCTGAGTCTATTTTGAGCAAATTTGTGACTTCTTCCTCTGCTTCTTTTTTTAGATAATAAAAAAAATTACACTAAAGCTTCCTCAATAGTTTTCCTGGACTCCCTATCAAAACTTGCTGATCAGACTAAGAATGGTTTGTGTTTCTTTCTTTGTCCTTGCAAATCCTCTGGCATATTTGTAATTTGATGTGGAAAGTCAGGTTTCAAAAAATGCCTGCAGAAGGGCCTGGAGAGGGGCCTCAGTACTTAGGGGAACTTTCTGCTCTTCCAGAGGATCCCAGCTCAATTGCCAGCACCCATGTTTGGTGTATATTCAGCATACACATAGAAATAATAATAATAAATTAGAATTATGGAAAAAGTTAGTTTTTAGTAAATTGTCAACTGAGCTATTCAATGCTTTAATAACATTTATTCAAATTTTGTAATAAGTATAGCAACACCTGCATTTTCATTCGTGGGCATTGCATTTCTTCAATATATTGAAGAGACATCAAACTTAGGCAAAGAGTTTGAAAATGACAAATAAAGAAATAATAAAGATATAACATGTCTGACACTGCACAGTTAACAGTATATATTTAATATGGAGAAATGTTAATCAAAACTCAAAATTTCAGTAATGGGTACCAAGCTCAAGAATTCAGTTAATGAAAATATGTTGTAATCCAGGTGAGTTAGCAAAGGCCTGTCATCCCACAACCTGGGAGAGTTTGGCAGGGGAAGTCTGTTTCAAGATAATCTTAACTGTCTACTGAGACCCTATCTCAAGTAAACAAATGAATAAACAGACCCGTGAAGAGAACATGCTATTCATTTGAAAGAACTGAAAGAATATATTTTAAGTGGTTTTACTGACAGACAAAGACAGAAGGGTGAGCTATGAATATAACTCGCCCCACACATCGTACATATATTCACACATACACACACACATATATATAGTGTGTGTGTGTGTATGTGTATCTTGAACAGGCATGTGGAGGCTAGAGAAGGATATCAAGTACTATCTATTATATCTCCAAGGTCATCCCCTTGAGATGGTCTCTCACTGAAACGAAAGTTGGTTAATTACACTACCCTGACTGGGACAGGGGGTTCCCAGAATCTGCCCACATAAACCCCAAAATTCTGGTGGTAGAGGCAAAGTCTGTGAAATCTAGCTTCGTTTCTGTAAGCTATGGGACTTTAAACACAAGTTCTGAAGCATGTGTAATAGGCATGCATATTTATTGAGCCACTTTCCCGACCGAAATGAAGGTGTTATAAAGATACTCCATGACGCATGTTTCTATCATGTTGGGCAACAAAAAGGTATATTAGAACATGTAAGCAAAAATAATAGTCATCAAAACACACTATGAACACTTACTAAGATTTACAGATACTGTTTTATTTTTCCACTCTTTTTGTGGCAGACATAATGACTGTTGGCGAACAGTGGGCAAAATCAAAGCTTAAAAATAAGGATGGAGGTCTTCTGTACTGTAGCAAATTTCATCAGCTCACGTCCACACAGGCCTACCTGCCCTGTGTCAGTGTTCCATGGTACTTCCCTGTTAGCACTTCGGGGCAGGGGAGAAATATGAAGGGAAAGAGACACTGTTATTTGTTAGTGTCTTCAAGTGTGTTTAGAGAGACAACCTCAATCTGTTCCTAGTAAGGCAGTTAGAAATCACTTTTTATTCTTCGTAAATTCCCATGTTTTACAAAGAGAACATGTCTTATGAAAAGAAACTTCATGGTTCTCCTTTTTTGACCTGAAGTCACATATATTAGGAAATCTTGGGAACAAAACATAGCACTGCATTCTTCTCAGTAAAACTTGCATTTGATTTTGCTTATCTGGTTTGGAGCATCAAATAGTTCCCTCACCTACTGTTTTCCTTATCTAGTTCAATGGTAACCTAAGTACTGAAATAAACAGATTATAAAATATATGATATATTTAATACAGAATTCAGTAAACTGTGAAATATTTGACCAAAGTATGGAGTTTTTCTTAATTTTGTGATCTTTTATATATTTTATGTAAAATTATTTTACTACAGCTGTTTGAGAACTGATGCCCTCTTCTGGCTTCTATAGACAACGCATCTGTGAGCATGTACAAACACATATATAGAGTTTAAAATGAAAATAAGATCTTTTACAAGTAAATAACTATTGTGTTGTTGTGACTATTCAATGAGTGATAAATATTGAAGATTTCCCTCCTTTAACTTATTTGGAGGAAGAAAATTATTAATTGTTACTTACAAGTTTATAATACAATGACAGGTAAAAAATCTTTTAAATTGTCCTTTATGTTTTTTTAACCATTCCATTTTTGTAAAAATCAAATAATTTCCTCATCCATCAAACAGAGTATGTTTTCTTTATTATTATTTTATAAAATTTTAGTTTCCTATTTTTGGTGTGTATGCACACATATATGCAGCACACATGTTTGGTTCTCTTTTCCCATTGTGGTATTTTCAGATGGAACTTGGGTCATCATACAGTATTTTTAACCAATTGAAACCTACAAAAAACCTCTGACTCTATATAGAAGTTCCTTTTATTACTTTTCTGAAACCTCTCATTATTTACAGTTTTAATGTGTCTAGAATAAACACTTCCCAGAGATAAGGCTTTATTCCACACAACCTTTCCTTAAAGAAAGAATTTCACTTCCTAGCATTTCACACAATTTCTCTATATGTCTATTTTTGTTCCACAAACTTTGATTTGTGACAACCTGTATAGTGATATACTCCTTGGATCAGTGAAGGCTTCCTCCCAGCAAGCTCACAGAGTGAGAAGTGGCACTCCTGACTTAGACCCTGAAAGCATAGTTCAGTGAAACTTCACTTTCCACTACTTTGAAATTCTTCAATACAAAAATTCCAGGTTACACTGCCCTTCTCTAGTCTTTTGCTTCTCTATTATTCCTGAGATATAATTCTGCCCTTCATCTACTACCAGTCAGTGACTAACTCCATCTTTCACTAACTACCAATCAATGACTATGGTGTGTTCTTTGTACCTGACTTGACAACCACTGTAATGGCTGAGTCATCTCCTCCATCCAGACTCTTTCAGATTATTTGGATGAGAGCACTATAGCTACACTGGTCTTTAAGAGTGAAATACAGAGGTAAAGAAGAGAATCATAGTTAAAATGTGTATGAAAAAAGACTCAGAGAAATGCAACAACATTGCTTATCATGAAGAATGGCAAAGGAGGCTAGGTATGAGTCAAGGCTATAGAAGTTGGACATGGGAGAGAATAATAATTTCCCCAAAAATAGCCAGAAGAAATCTGGCCATACAAACACCTTGGTTTTAAACCCAGTGAGCATGGTCAGACCCCCAACTTAGAGAGTTAAAAGATAAGGAATTTGTGTTTGAAACAATTTATTTAAATTTGCAGTAGTTTGTTATACTAGTCACATGAAGTAAAGTGTCATTACTGGTTTTGTATGTAAGAAAAGACAAGTGACAAGCTCTTTTTTTTCCTGTTGAAGAGAAAAAGTAAGATGAGGACAAAAATTAATGGTGCTGAAGAGATGGCTCAATGGTTAAGAGCACTTGCCTCTCTTCCAGGGGCAGTTAGTTTTGTTCCCAGCACTCACAAAGGTAATCCTTGCTTTAGGGAATCTGATACTCTATTTTGTTCTCTAGAAGCACTCCCATAAAAACACATAGTGTGTGCAAATGCAGAAGCACACACACACACACACACACACACACACACATACACACACACACAGAGAGAGAGAGAGAGAGAGAGAGAGAGAAATATATAAAAATAATAAATATTTTAAAGAAAATATTTAGAGGATATAAAGGAGAGCAAGAATTATTAAGAACTATTAACATCTCATTTTCTACCACACTTCCCTAACATATTTTCTTAACACTGTCAGCATAATGCATTCTTAGAGTTCAAAAAAGACACTATTTGACTATTTATGAATCAAAATAAAATTATAATGTATGCTGGTAGATAAGAAAATCCTTGCCCCTCTTCCTGAAACTGAAAGGCTTATCATAATAAAATAAGCAGTTGAGCCATTTAGTTATGTTGAAGCTACTATACCTTAAGAAAAATACTGTTCATTATGACTTGCAGTTTTATGTAATTATGTCATAGCAATTTGTTCAAATGACCCCTTTTAGGAAAAGGAATGAGATGTCTTGAAGAAAATGAGACATTTGATCTCGCTGTGAATCCCAAGTGATTGCATCTTCATCTTTCATAAAGACTAAAAATGCCCTGGGAATTTGAATATGTTCATAGGCAAAAGCCATGTCCCCAATTAGTGTCCAATCAGTATGATGAAAAGAATTGATGCAGGTAGAGATGGGCCTTTTCTGTCTATTCAGCTTCCTTGAGACATGCATGATACATCTCTAGGAGACACACTTTTTTTCCAAACCCTTTGTTCCCTTCTTATTATTGTCCAGTGTTACAATTGTGAATCAAATGTAATAAGCATTGTGATTTGTTTGCGTTAATCACCTGCATCCATAGATAAATAGTGATGAGGACAGGGATACAAATTCTTTCAAATATCTAGTGTTTTATTAGAGTATAATGAAGCTACATTACCCTTTTTTATAGTTCAAAAATACTTGAATTAAAAATATGAAACTTTAAACAATTTTGTATCAAAGCAGAGACAGTCATAGCTCTTTTCTGTGAGACAGCTGAGTCCTGTGCTAGAGCCTGCAGTAAATGTGCAGTTGAGATGAGGAGGAGGGGTATGTATAGCTTCCTTATTCAGAGAATGGCAAGGAAGTTTCAGTCGCTTTAGTTAGTGCCTGCAGTGAATGTGCAGTTGAGACAAGGAAGAAGAGTATGCATAGCTTTTATTCAGAGAATAACAAGGAATTCTCGGTCGTTTTAACTAATGGTCAAGGAAAACACAGTTTATTTGAAAAACTAAGACCTGTGGTTCTTTTTATTGCAGAGACACTTGGCTTGGATCCGGAAGTTGCCAGAGCAAACACCTTGGGTTTTGTTGGATGCCTTTCTTCAGTCCGATACAACCACATAGCTCCATTGAAGGCTGCCCTACGTCATGCCAACGTTGCACCTGTGACTGTCCAAGGGACCTTGACAGAATCCAGCTGTGGTTCTATGGTGGACTCTGATATGAATGCAGTGACCACTGTGCATTCTTCATCAGGTACTTCCGAGAGTTCACTCTCTTGACTTTCCATCACTAACTACTCTTCTGCTGTCTTATAGAGTTAAACAATTGGTCAACAGCACTCAGCTCATTACCTTGTATGATTATAGGTGGTTACAAATTGTAACTAGCTTCTCACGGGTCACATCTGTATTTACAATATACTCTGATGGAAACACACTAATGGAGAAAAGTTTTATTCTGCTTCACAGTGCAAGCATCCAGTTCATCGTAACAGAGAATCAAAATGAACTAGAAGTAGGTGGTTATATGTTGCATATGTGTGATTGTATGTTGTACATATAATCTGGAGGCAGAACATGATATACACATGCTAGTATTCTGATCATTCTCCATCTATAAAATTGAGGATTCCATCCAGGGAGTGGTGCCAAGCACAGTGGTTAGCTCTTCTCACCTCAGTTAAGAAATCAAGATAATCCCACAAACATACCCAGCAGCCTGTCTCTCAGGTGATTCTAGAGTCTGTTAAATTGATTATTAACACAAACAGTAGTGGACAGAAGTAAACAAAAAAGGGTGTGAACACGAGAATAGTAATTAATTTAATTAATAATATGTTTTAAGTATGAAATTTAGCCATATATAGATAATGTGCATTTAGCCAATAGAAAATTAATAGTTAACAAATTAACAATTAAAACTACCTATGCATATTTAATGTAATTCTAGTTTAAGGCAATGAGCAGTTTTAATTAATGTGTAGTCCCTTGTAGTATATATAATACACATATTCATAACATGCATGTGCATTATTGAATCACTATTGTTTTAGTGGAAACTGGTATGAGAACTAAACTGTTTAAAGGGCATGAAGGCAACATAATGGGGCCTTAGATAACAGTGACTACAGTATTATGCTCTAGTTCTTTTTAAGGAAGAAGTAATAAAATTGTAGGCACAAGAAGTGTAAAATATGGTAGTTTGTATGCATTATATGGTGATTCCTTTATTAAATTAGCAGGAAGGCACTAGGAAGAAGGCTAAAATGCTTGCTGTACAATCATGAGGGGCAAAGTTAAATCCCCAGCAACCAGATAAGAAGCTGGGTATGGCAGTGAGCCCTTGGAACCAAGTGCTGGAGCAAAGACAAGAGATACTTGGGACTTCTTGACCAGTCAACCTCTCTGAATTAGTGACCTCCAGAGTCAATCAAAGATGTAGTCTCAGAAAGTGTCAATTAAAATGATTGAAGAAAATATCAAAAATAAATCTCTTGCCTCTGCATTGGCCCTCATGGGATTACACACCTGCCTAGATATGTGTATTATTCACACATATAAACAAATACATACCTATATAAATAAATACACAAATGCATATTCTGTACATACGTCATTTTACATAGTTACATTGTATGTGTTTATGTGTCTGATGAGAACACTTGATCATAAAAACATATTTGTACATTTTATGATTTTGCTTATTTATGTAAAATTGATATTTTTTAACCAATAAAGCCTAAGCTACTTTCAAGTATCATTATGTTCTATAATCAATTTTGTTTTTCTCTTTTTAGATTCTGAATATTAGTGAAATTTACATTCCTTTTCTTTATCATGGATGACTTTCACTTGATCTGATATTGTTTTCATTCTTTTTTAATGAAGAAATCAATTTTTTGTGACTGAGTAAAATTCTAGTGTGTGTTTGTATGTGCATGTGTACGTATGTGTATTGTGTTTATATGTGTATGAGAGTATGTCTATGTGTGTTTATGTACAAATTCTTTTAATACTCATGTATTGATACTTAAGTTACTTCCACATTTTGACTATTCTAAACAATACTAAAATGAACATAGATTATAGAAATCTTTACGCATCACAACCCCTGATTTTACATTATATTAGAAAAGCATGACAATCAAAATTATATAATACTGCCATAGAAACATATATAAAGACAAAGAGAGTGGATTAGAGAGCCAAGAACTAAACACAGGCATGTGTGGTCAGCTCATATTTGGCAAGCACTGGGAGAAAGGCAAGTGCTTCATAAGTGCCTTCGGGTTAGCTAACTACAAGAAAATCATGTAACTGGAACTTTTTCTTACTCTATAAAAAAATACTTGACATGGGAATCATTAATGGTTTATAAGACTTGAAACATTAAATCTTTCAGAAATACCTCAAGCCAGCCTGGTATACAGAGTGAGTTACAGGACAGGCTCCAAAGCTACACAGGGAAACCTGTGTTGACCCCATACACACACACACACACACACACACACACACACACACACACACACACACAAAAGAATTGGGGGAAAACAGAAATTAAGGACTTGCTGTGTCCTCTACTAGAAAGAAGTGAGGCAAGGCTGGCAAGCTTGAACTCTTTAGGGCTGAATCTGTTGAGTAACTTTGACCAAACCTGTGTTATGGAGACTATGGAGACTATGCTATACCTGTAGCAGTCCCATAATTGTCTCTATGGTGTTTGGTGGAGAAGGCACATTAACTTGGGAACTATGAGTTAGATAGCAGGATGGTTGGGGAGGTAGGCTGTGAACTGATTGATTTGTGTGTGTGAAAAGCATGTTTATGTGTAAAACATTTATTGTCTCTAGGAACTAATTAGCCTACCACTGTGTGACAATATTCCTGAGGAGATGTGAAAAAAAATTAATCAATTCAAAGAACTGGTGACAGACCAAAGTTAGGATACCCCCAAATTCCAATATGAGGAAGCAGTGAGTTTCCCTGTGGTCATTTCCCTTGTAGTCACTCATTGCAATAGAAATGATTCAAGAAAGCTTCAAAGCCTACCCTGGCATGGGCTATGGCTCATATGACTGAAACCCTGAAGCTCAGTGCAAAATTTATGGGCAGCTCAACAGCTCAGAGAATATTTCTTGCAGGCAGTCTTGCAAATCTCTGTTCCTTTCAAGAAGCTATGGTAGTCTGAGAACGTTCCAGGCAGCTTGACTGATATGAGAGTGTCTCTTATCCATCTTTACTGCTTATATAAGCTTGGAGAAGGAGGGCCCTAACACATCTGCTCAGTGAGTGGAGTTACTGAATTGTTTACTCTCTGAGTCTTAAGGAACTTCCCTTTAGAACATTCTGAGTCTTAAAGAACCCTCTTGAAGGGAGAATGTATCACTCCCAGAAAAGTATTTTACACCTGGGAAAGATATCTACACCCTGACCAGCAAGGTCTACAGATGAATCATAAAATTCAAGAGAAAGGTGTTAAATTATTAGTTTGCTGCAAAACTCTGATATATCAGTATTCAGCTGTAGAC